GTGACACAATTAATTCCAACTAAAGAGCTATCATAAAAGTAAATGATGCTCACTCAAAGTAAAAGTTTGGTTGGTTCTTCTGGAGGGGTTTTGTTACTGTTTTCTTTGTTTTAAGTCAACACTGTAAGCATTTAGGTCAATGTCATGAGACAAAGTGTATGTGAACTGCTGTATGGAAAGTGAATTTGCTCTGTAAATCTTCCCAAATCACAGTAATAATAATAATAATAAAAAAGAATGTACCATAGTTTAACTATTGGGGTTGTTTCTAGTTTTGGGCTGTTATGAATAAAACTGCTATGAATATTAAAAAAAAAAAAAAAAAAGAGTGTAAGCATTTAGATATTCAAATGAATATCATCCTCATTCCAAAATACATACTATCATGAGAATTCCTTTTTGGCTTATGTCTGCAGGGTCAGATTCTTTACATGTACCAAAAATAAGCTTTTCAATCATGCCTATTTTCTAACCCCCACTTTATTCTCTGAACCTTTATACTGCCATACTTAGGTCCGAATTACTCCTGAACATTTGCAAAAGTCCAGTCTTTCCTTAAGGTGGGAAAATTTGCTTCTATTAGGATATCCAAAAAAAAATGTGACAGAGGCTGTTCCCCAAATAGTCAGAGCAAAAGTGTCAACCCTTAATCAGTGATTCTCAATGTGTGGTATGGAATTCTGTGAGACCCTGGGATTCTGTGAGGGAGTTCAAAAGGTCAAAAGTATTTTCATAATAAAATTATGACACTACTTGTATTTTTCACTCTCATCGTCTCACAAATATCACCAGTTTTCCAGAGGCTATACATCGTATGATAACATCACTGCTCTAATCTCTAACGGAGTGTATACTCTTGTGCTTTAAAATATCTCAGTTTAATTTCCAAAGTAGTAAATATCAATAAGATATAATCCAAAACAACAAAACCTCTTTGAAGTTCTCGGTAATTTTATAGAATGTAAAAGCATCCATAAAACAAAAGTTGGAGAAATGTTGCCTTAAACAAAGACTCTTCCAATCTATTTTACACATAGGAAAAAGTACAGACATATGTAACAATAGCACGTTGCCAATAGATTGCAGTCAATCTACCATGTGAAATAATTTGCTCAAAAGCTGTAATTAAAAATTACTTGAAGAACACCTCTAAATAATAACATTTTTCACTCTACCAAATAGTTTTCCTTTTAAAAAAGATATGGAACACAGCTTAGTCTATTTTTTCAATTCAAGGTAAAAAAAATTTTTTAATCTGAAGCCCTCTTAAAGTCAAACAAGTGGAAATTAAATAACAAACTAACAACCTTAATTGTGTTTCAGAAGGCAGAAACCTCTGAGAGGGTGGGAGGGTAGGGGCATTGGAAGAACACTGTTCTTGTTAAGTGACATCAAAACACTGTCCAGTCTCGTGTCATCCTTACAATCATTGCTTTATTTTTCAGTCCACTGTTGGAGCCACTGTGTCAATGTAACTCGTTGAGGGTCTTCCCCTTTTTTGCTTACCCTCTAACTTTACCAAGCATGATGTCCTTCTCCAAGGACTGGTTCCTCCTGTTAGGGAGATCTCATCATCTTCGCTTCTAAGGAGCATTCTGGCTATAATTCTTTCAAGACAAACTTGTGTGTTCTTGTGGCAGTTCCTGGTATATTCAATAATCTTTGCCAATATCATAATTCAAATGCATCAATTCTCCTTCAGTCTTCCTAATTACTTGTCTAGCTTTTACATGCATGAGGCAAATGAAAATACCATGGCTTGAATCAGTCACATTTTAGTCCTCAAGGTGACATCTTTGCTTTTTAACACTTTAAAGAGGTCTGCAGCAAAGCTGCCCAATACAATACCTCATCTGGTGTCTTGACTGCTGTTTTCTCAGTGTACTACTGAAACCATTTTAAATTATGTTCAGCACAATTTTACTTACATTTGATATTAATGATATTGTTCGATAACTTCCATAATTTCCACTGGTTGTGGATCCAACTAAAATGAAATCCTTGACACTTCAACATTTTCTCCATTTATTATGATGTTGCTTATTGGTCTAGTCATGAGGATTTTGGTTTTATGTTGAGGTGTAATCCACACTGTAGGCTGTAGTCTTTGATCTTTATCAATAAGTGCTTCAAGTCCTTCACTTTCAGCAAGGCAGGGTGTGTCATCTGCATATCCGAGGCTGTTAATTAGTCTTCCTCCAATCCTAATGGAGCTCTGGTGGCATAGTGCCTAAGGCATTTGACTGCTAACCAGAAGGCTGGAAGTTCAAACCCACCAGCCACTCCTCAGAAGGAAAGTTGGGCAATCTACTTCTGTAGTGATACTGCCTTGGAAACCCAAGGAGGGGTCACTATAAGTCAGATCCAACTTGACAGCAGTGAGTCATCCTGACAGAGCATTTGTCTTCACATAGTGCAGTTCTTGGATTATTTGCTCAGCATACAGATTGAGTAAGTATGATGAAAGGATACAACCTTCATGCACACCTTTCCTGACTTTAAACCATGCAGTATATCCCCTTGTTCTATTCAAACAATTGCCTCTTGGTCTATGTACAGCTTTCTCATGAGCACAATTCAGTGTTCTGGAATTCCCATTCTTCCTAATGTTATCCATAATTTGTGATGATCCACACAAATGTCTTTACAGTCAAAAAAACACAAGTAAACATCTTTCTGGTATTTTTTGCATTCAGCCAATATCCATCTGCCATCGGCAATGATATTCCTCATTCCATGTTCCCTTCTGAATTTATCTTGAATTTCTGGCAGGTCTCTGCTGGTGTAATACTGAAACCTTTTAAATTATCTTCAGCATAATTTTACTTTCATTTGATATTAAAGGTATTTTTGAGAATTTCCACATTCCATTGGATCATTCATTTGTTGCAAAATCTCAACTGGTATTGTGTCAATTCCTGGAAACTTGTCTTCCATCAGTGCTTTCCGTGCAGCTTGTGTTTCTTCCATCAGTAACATGAGTTCTTGATCATATTCTACCTCCCGAAATGGCTGGACACTGACTGATTCTTTTGGGCACAATGATTGTGTACTCCCCTTTCCATTTTCCTTTTTATGGTTTCTGCATCATTCAATTTTTTGTCCATAGAATCCTTCAATATGGCAACTCGAGGCTTGAATTTTTTCTTCAGTACTTTTATCTTGAGAAATGCCGAGCATGTTCTTCCCTTTTGGTTTTCTAATATTACAAATGGTTAATTCTCCCATGTGAGTTATATAATCACTGAATCGCTCTCAAAGTTTGTTTCTTTTTTTTTTTTTTTAAAGTACAGAGAACTTTTTTTGTTTTGGTTTAAGTAAGAATTATTTAAAGCTTTTACATGGAGACTAAGTGAATTAAAAAGGTAAATAGTGGAAACTAGCAATTTCACAGAAAGAAATATTTCTATCCTCTGAAACCCTATTAATAGTATCAAATGATTTCTTTTTAAAAGGAAAATCTAATAAATAACTTATATCTCACTCTTAAAACCCTGTGGTTTAGAGTTACATCTTTGAGGGCAAACAATACAACCAAGCAACATATACTTGAAGCACTCCTTCTGAACAAAAGTTAACATCTAAATGGAAACCATTCTAACTTAATACAATGCTCAGTTAAGAAAACATTCTAACTATAGTTTAATTTTTCTTTATTCTCTTAGGTTATCACAGTGAATATCAGTTACTGTATTTTCTTACAATGTGATGTTAAGACAATTAAAACGCTCCCACACTACAGTACAGATTTTGTCTGTTCGTTCATAATTGTTCTGTTGTCACATCACTCCTAGTTCATCCATCCTAACCCACAACTGACTCTTCTTCCTGCTGTTTGTTATCTCCATTATTCTCTGCCCTTCATCCTCTTCCTTTCTGCCCTTTGTCTTCTTTCAATTCTTTTCCTGATGTGTTCTCCTGATTTGTCATTTGCCATTACCTTTTGGAAGGTAAGCTACTTTTCACTCAAAGTGTCCCAGCTTAAGCTCTTACAACTAGTAAGTTATCCAGCTCTAAAGATTTCTTCCCATTGTACCACAAAGAAGTTCCATCATTTTTACTTATTTTCTTATTTACACAGAAATTTGTTATTAAGTCATCCATGTTATCATCATCATTTATCAGCTAGATAACCAGAGACAAAATTACAACCTCTGAGACTCACTGTTCACGTAAGTAAAACGGGATCTATCAACATGTGCCTTAATAGAGCATGACCTCTGGGTCAGACTGCCAGAGTTCACAAACAATGGCTGTAGCACTAACTATATGAGTGTATAAAATGGGAATACAACTACTACTTCCTTCAAAGGGTTGTTATGATTAAACACTAAATAAATGTTAGTCATTATTAACAACTTTATAAATTTCTACCAAAGATCAAAACAGACTAGAACATGAAAATGTATTCATTATGCGTATCTAATCAGTTATTTTTTTAACTCTAAGTAGTTATTCTTAGTCATCCTATTTGTTGGCATTTTTAGTAATTCTTTAACTGCTCAGTGTAACTTTGCAACTTCTGGGTTTATTTATTTACTTTTCAGGGGGTGGGGTGGGGGTGGTTAAGTGTAAGTCAAAGCTTTTGTAGAAGATTAAAAGATACCTACCAGATGCCCCAAAACCGAAAAACTAAGTAGCTACTCTACCAAACTCATAATCAATGAATGTCAGATAAGGTCATTTATACTGAGAATTTACAAGCTTATGGTTGTGAATGAATTTTACTCTAGTGTTTCATTTCCTTTTATTTGTAGTAATATTTTTCTAAAGGTTCAAAATGTATGATATATTCTTGTATTCTATATGATTCCTCTGTCATCATGTTCCTTTCCATAAAATTAGAACATGTGACATGTCTACCTCCTTAACTGTGTAGTGGGGAGACCGCTGTGCTTACACACTTTTAAGTATTATCAAAGCTGTTGACAAGAATATAACTATACATACAAACCACAAACTTTTTTCTCCCCTCCAAATGAACATTTTTGTATATTTACCTTGCCACTAATGACTTCTTCCACTCGCTCTTGGGGTGTCTGTCCAGCTTTCGGCCTCACCAGAACATATACTGAATTCACCTTAGGACAAGACCTCAGCAACTTCTCCAGAAGCACCTTGCCTAGGAAGCCGGTAGCTCCAGTGAGGAGGACATTTTTGCCTTCATAGTATTCTGGGATTGAAACCATTATGGCCCTAAGAAAAACATGGCAAGTAATAAGCATTAGTTCAAAGATTTATGTTTATTCTTTATTACTAAATATCTTAATATTCAAGTTAAGTATTTTAAAAGAGAAGCAAAATCAAGGATGAATGTTAACAAATGAGAATTCTAACCTCTGTTGATTGCAGTAAGGTAGAAAGTACAAGGAACTGTAATAATGACCTCTAATCTCTGTGCTTTTCCCCTGGATCATTTCAGACAAATCACTCACCTTCTCTGGGCCTAAGTTTCTTTAGTCGAGTTTGTACTAAACAGTCTCTAAAAATCCCTTCCAGCAATAAGAATTCAAATCTTCATTTAAACCTCAGTTAAACTAACCAGAACTGAATGGTGTTTCTCTGTCTCCAAAGGGATTTATAACACAAAATAGAGGTCAGCGTCAAGAGGAAGACTCAATTGCCTAGCTTGTATAACATGGGTAGCTATCATATTCACCTAACACCACCAGAAGAAACAAGATGAGGTAACATCAAGTCTTTTTACCTTTTGGTCAGTTAATGACAATACATTCAAAAGGTGCTTAAGTCTACCTTTTAACAAAAAGTCATAGTAAGAAATACATGGGCTGACTTAACCTCCTTACCCAAATTGCACTGAAACAGCAGAAATGATACATTAAGACAATGAATAAAAGGATCATAATGAATGAAAAATAAAGAACATGCAGAAGGATTCATGCAATGTCACTATATAAAACTCAAACACATTGAAAAAAATGCTCTTTATTGTTAAGAAACACAAACATAATATTAACAGATGAATGATAAAGAGTAAAATACAATCAGAGAAGAGAATAAGGAGCTTTAATTGCATTCATAACATTTTATTTAAGTTAGGGAACAGATACATGAACTTTGTATCCAAAGTTTTCATAACTTAAAAAACAAAAAAAATCGTAACAAGAAATAGTACCCTTAAACAAGCGGTGGGGGGGGAACAGTATAAGAACACTTATTATTTCTAGAAGAAACAGATAAGACTGAAATGACAGAAAAGCCAGAGCAGAAGAAACAGCAACCCCAAGCAAAACAAGCAAGGAAAGGACTATAGGAAGTCAAGAGCTGTCCTTACCAGTCCCCTAAAATAGAACCTGGGAGAAAATGCCAAGCTCAGGATCAAGAAGCTAAGTTAAAGTGTAGGGAAATCAAGGTAATTCAAGGATAGCTCACAGAATAGCAGAGCCACTTATGACAATCTTACTTCTTGTAACAACTCTGGCTCCCAGGCTTAGTATCCAGATTTCCTTGAGAAAAGCATTCAGCATGAATGCTAGGAACAAAAGAGAAGCAAGGCTGAGCCTAAGGTGACTCCAAATATCCAAAAATTAAAGGGAAGGAGGTGTAAGGACAAAGGGAACAAAAAGAACCGTGTGCAAAAAAAGTCATTATAGCACTCAGCCCACAGAATAAATAAAAACCTGACATTTATAGGTGCTCAGCCTGTCTATCTGCTGCTGGCCCTTAAAGCAAACTTAGGTAAATCTCTCAATCAGCAAACACATTTCAAGAAAAGCTCTTTTGGGAAAACAGACCTACCTTAAATAACAAAGAGCAAACTAATACCAAGTATCCATCCCAGTCCTTCATAAATATGGATAACCAAGGATCACTAGGTACGCTGTAACTTGTGAAGGCAGAAACCTTTCAGAGGTAGAAAATGCACCTATTTTCCACTAAAACAAGCAATGGAAAAGTGGTAAGACTTCACCCTGTGTCAATGACAGAAAACTTAGGAAGCTCAAAAACAAAGTAGGCCTGTTGAGTTCTGGCTCTCACAGCTTTCACTGTATTTAATACCAGGTCAACTTCCGGCAAGATGGTAGAATAGGAAGACAAGCTACACGGACCCTCTAAAACAAAGGAACAAGAAACCAATTAACA